CTCTCTCGCGGATAAGCACACTCTCTGGTGCTTATGTGGTAGYCTARCTGAGATCAAACTTATGRTATTGACAACTTCTCCTTAGGAGTTTATTAACAACTGAGGCTACGCAAAGTTTCTCATTTTCTAGYTCTTCTGTCCMTGCGGTATTYGCCTTCTTCTCTACTCTTTTTATGGACTTTTGGAGTCGCCCCCGATGRAACACTMYCTTTTTCCTTTTCTCTTCTTCTTGTCCTGACATACCCAAGTAGTGGGTTGACTCACCCGGGAATCATCCACTACTTKATCAATTCCAAATCAAACGGTTAGTCAAACGAGTAGTCGAATTGCTCCTACGGAAGCAATCAACCACCCTTCATAGCTCAAGCAATCCTCAAGCGATCAAACAATTCAGGCAATCATGCACGAGTGGCTGGATAATCCATATGTGAGTATTTAGTTTTTGATAAACCCCTTTTAGATCCAGATGTCAATACAAAAGTTCAAGCAAATAATAGGCGACCTTCCCGGAAGCCTCCTACTACTCCTTGATCGGAGCTCAGTCTACCTTTCATAAGCATAATAGGATGATCCAACGGGAGTCACCCTACTATTAGCTTAGAGTCGGACGAGCTTGAGATTAAGTCAGTGGTTTTTGGATGATTCGAAGCGCCATATTTGGTACGTTAGAATGTAGCCAAGTGGTTTATATAGAATGACTCTATGGGAGCCTCCTATATCCGGATCCAATGTTAACTAATCAGGTCATTGGTAATCATGCATTGCAAACAAGTAGCAGGGTTACTCAATTCTCTTTCTGTTAATTGATCCCTATAAGAAACAAAGTATTAAGATGACCCTCCCGGGAGCCACCTAATATCTGTTCGATGTGTAGGGAACCAAATTGTTTGTAATTGTTAGTTGATCCCCAAATCAAACAGAATATTAAGATGACCCTCTTGGAACCCACCTAATATTTGTTTGATGTGTAGGGGATTATGATTATTTATAGTTGTTAATTGACCCCTAGATCAAACAGAATATTAAGATGATCCTCCAGGGAGTCATCTAACATCTGTTTGATGTATAGGGAATCACGATTGTTTGTAATTTTTAATTGATCCCCAAATCAAACCGAATATTAAGATGACCCTCCCGAGAATCACCTAATATCTGTTCGATGTATAGGGGATGAAAATTTCTTGTTAGTTGACCCCTAGATCAAACATAATATTAAGATGACCCTCCTAGGAGCCATCTAATATTTGTTCGATGTATAGGGGATAAAGAAATTATTTGTAGTTGTTAATTGGTCCCCAGATCAAACAGAATATTAAGATGACCCTCCCGGGAGCCACCTAATATCTGTTCGAAATGTACGGATAAAGATTATTTGTAGTTTGTTAATGGACCCCCAGATCAAACAAAGTATTAAGATGACCCGCCCGGGAGCCATCTAATATCTGTCCGATACATAGGGGACCAATATCATTTATAGTTGCCCTGAGAGTTTATTTATTAAGTTAGGCAAAGGCATGTTGACTTACACGGAAGGCAACACAGATCGTCGTAGACTCAGGAGTTCGTGTACTCACCCGGAAGTACTTAATTCCCTCCTTAAGTCTAATCCGATCTTTCGATAGGAGAACTCCACGGGAGACTCCTATTACCTCTGCTTTTGTCGGTTATTTGAAAACGGTGTATTCCACGGAAGTATCGGATTAGTTTTTGCCTTGGTTAAATCAGTTCAAAACGTGTACTTTATGGGAGTACCGGATTAATCTTGGATTTAACTATTTGAGTTATCAGGAAAAACGCACGGCATCTTCCCATCCTTAATGTTGAAGTCCAGGGCTAAACAGTTAGGCTGGGTAGTTTGCACAGCAAGTACCATTTTAGTCATTCCAGACAGCGCAACGACACCAACGAAGGCCTCCATCAAACTGCCTTTGTTGTCTCAAAACCAAGCAGGCTAAGTTTCCTTCTCGGTTCTTTCCTAGGTTCCTTCCTTTCCTCAGGCAAGGTTCTTATTCCAATCATACAGTACATTTCTTAGTTCATATGATGAGTCATGAAGAAACCTATAAACAGTATATCACATAAATACGCAAGCATTTTGCTAGAAGGGGTGTAGTTCGTAAGGGATATGGGGAAGTAATCGATGACGCGTACCTTACAGTTCCCTGCCTGCAGAGTTCCTTCTGAACTCCGGCAGAGCTCCCGCAATCGCCATGTTTTGTCGGTCTCGTATTACACCTGCAATGGGTCGTTTGATCCTTTTGAAGGAATATATCTCTAGACACAAGCACATGAGATGAACAATCAGGAGGAAGGATGGAGGAGGCAGGCACCATCACATATTGACAATGTCCCTCTCCTCTCCGTCGCCCCATATTATTTTCCTTCTCTAACCCCTGCTTTCCTCTCCTTTCCTGACCCATAATTTAGCACAATTACTTAATTAATCAATAAATAATAATAATAATAATAATAATAATAATAATAATAATAATAATAATAATAATAATAATAATAATAACACTAATGATGATAATGTAAGGTATATATTTATAGACTGCCAAACTGCGAAATCCATAGATGTCTAGAACATGCATGAGTATAGAGTGCACATGCATTAAGTATTTATCAAAATAGAGCATTATAACGAAGTAATGAGCCAATGTCCAAACCAGCAAGCAACATCAATGCAGTATCCAGAATCGCTCTCCCTGTCTGGCGCACAATGCCCAACATACTCTAACGTATTATCATACGATGCAGCTCGTTCACACAACAAGATCAGTTCGGTTCACATGTCTGCCCATAGCATCGGCAACCTCTCTCTTATGTTCTTAGGCGCGTATCTTGTCACCCTTAATCAGACCTTGGTCATCCCACACGATGCCTTATTCTTGAAGGTCAACCGACCATCCGTCGTTCCTCCCCTAGCGCCCAGCAGCCCGGCTATGACCGCATACGTCCCTATGTCCTGTCTAGCGTGTAGGTGCCCAGACACAATCTTTCCCGGCCTGGGTCAACCGTATAGCGCAGCTTGGCGGGGTTTTCAACATTCGCCTCACCAGTTGATGTGCAGCAAGAGCCTGAATACCCACATACGAAAATGTCAAATTGACCTGTGATGAATACTTAGGCCCGCCTTCACTTAGGGTGGGCATTTTGCTTGGTGTGCCTTGGCCCAGAACAATGTGATATCTGATAGGGTCAATTAAGGGCTTGATTCTTATAATAATAATAATAATAATAATAATAATAATAATAATAACAACACAAATAGTAATAACAATAATAATCATAATAATAGCAATAACAGTAATATTAGTAATAAATAATAATAACAGTAAYAATAATAATGCAAGGAACTGACTGTTCATAGCTTGCTCAAGAGCATCAAACCGAATACATACATGTCACCACATGTACCAAGCGGCTTCACACAAAATCAGATAGTGATGAGATAAGGACCAAGTAGCGCAACTTATATCATCAATGTTACTTAATGCAAAGAGAATGTCAAAAAAAAATAAAAAAATTTCAACATCAAAGATTGGTAATGTCTTACTCTAAATTCCTAACGTAAGCCGTCGCTGCTCGTACAACTGTATTCTGAATCCCTTCTTACCCTTCTTGATCAGGTTACCTTCTCTGTCAATAAGTCTGTCACTCCCATCAAAACTGACCAAACGTTTGTCCCCGTCTTCCTGGAAACCAGGACATTCTTCCCTCCTGTGGGCACCTTTCATGCAATACCAACATAATCGTTTTTCTACTCCCCTTGTCCTTTTTGTTGCCCAATGAGGGTCAAGAGAAACTTCCCCAATTTCTCCATCTCCCCCTCTTGAAGCCAATACCTCCATATATGATCTCTTTTGACCTTTTCCATCATTTAACTTGGACAGAGTAAGAGTTTTGTCCCCCTCCTGCACTCTCTTTTCATCTTTCAATTCTTCTTCTCTTTCTGTCAATTTGCCTTTTTTTCCTTCAAGTCCCTGGATGTTTTCTGTCACCTTCTTTGCCTGGATACTCACCTTGGAGTCTTTCATGGTTTCTTCAATTTTCTTCCACATTTTCTCTCACTCTTCACTCTCTTCCTTCCTCTCTTTCCTTTCAGACTCAATCGCCTTATTTTGCTCACTGACTTTTACTTTCAGCCCTTCCACTTCCTTCTCTAGCTTCTCCCTTTCTGTTTCCATTTTCTGACTCTTAGTATCATGAGCGATTTTTAGCGCTTCCACCTTTAACTCCAGCTTCTTATGCTCAATTTTTTCCTTCTCCACTTCGCTTTTCAAATTCTCCACTTCCTTCCCCAACTCTGTCAGTTGTGAATCCCTCTTTTCTTCTCTCGCCCTTAGCCTTAGAATTTCTTTGAGGATTTCAGGGATTTGGTTGGCTACTCCCTGCGTGAGCAGCTCCTCCTTTTCCTTTATCCTGTCATGAAGTTTTTGCATCGAGGATTTCAAATCCTTTTCCCTTTTTTCCCTTCTCCTTCCTTCTTCCACTTTCCTCAACTTTTCGACCACATCAACTTCTTCTTCAAGAAGCCATTCACAATCCTCTCTAATCATCTTATTGAGCTTAATTAGCCTATCCACATTTGAGGCCAGTTTGGAGTTGGCAACAACCTTAGACAAAACTATATCTTTCATCCTCACTTTCCAGGGAACGTTCATGGGCGACTCATTTTCCTTTAGGTGAATCACGGCGTGGTTCCTCCACTCCCTGTTCTCGTCCTCCTTTCTCTGCCTTTCTTCCTCAGTTAACCTCCTTGTCCCATGGTCTTTGAGAGGCTCCATGGAGGATGTTGCTTCTGCTTTAACTGATGATCCAGCCTCCTCCATCTTTCCGTTTCTTTTTTTCTTTCTCTTTTCTTCTCCTTCCTCTTTCTTTTCTTTGGAAGATTTGTCCCTTCCTTCTTCCTTCCTGGCTATACGCCTTTCCTTCCCCTACACCTCAGGTTTTTCCATGTTACGTACAATTTTTCCCTCTCCCTGTCGAGGGGGTGCCTCATTCCCATTTTTTTGTTGTGCCCTTTCCAACCCTTCTTTCCATCTTTCAATCTACACCCCTTGCTCCTGGAACAACTGCCTCTTCTTCTGCCTCCTTATGCTCAGAGGATGTGCCTTTCTCATCTCAACAAGAAAGTCACCCCAGGTATCTGACCCTTCTCTGATCTTTCTGACAGTCTCGCGTTCCCTAGGTGTTACCCTAATCGCAGTCTGCTCCAATTTTTTCTCATCATCCCATCTGTTCCTTTCTGCACAGAGACCGATGCTATCCTCGAAATCCTCCAAATTTGTTCCGTCGAAAGTGATGTTATCTTCTATTTCATCTCTTCTCAAATCTGCATACTTGGACCACATCGCTACTTTAAAGCTCTGCCATCCAAAAACTCTCATGGCCATTTCCTCCATCGCCTTTCTGCATTCTCCCACTCCAGCCACATTTTTAATCATGGTGGGCACATCCCACTCTTTGATGAAAGCGTGATTTTCATATTCCCTCAAAAACTGCCTCAGGTTATCCTCTTTCTTGTAAAACGGGATTGCCGCAGAGTCTCTTGTTACCACTGGATGCCTCAATCGTTCTTCCTCTTCAGGAATAGACCTGTTAAGACCCACCATCCCTCCCTTCTGCGACATGGCAACTGCTCCCTTAGGGTCAAACCTGCACACAGAAGAAAAGAGATTTGGAGGGACAGGTAGGACGATGAGTATGCCGATGGTCAACAAAAAAATATTTTGCAAAGGAAAAACATTTTTTTACAAAAAGGACTTCACAAGATAACAACTTTTTGAATCAACTCACCTCCGGTCTTAGCTTGAATTTCTTCAGCCTGGACCAAGAGATCCAGTCATTCCTTGGTGTCCCATCCATTTCTTCAAGCTCGTAGCCTCCATAATTTCCTCGACGCCTGACCTTGTAGGGTCCCAGCCACCTCTTGTCCAACTTTCTTGACCATTGTTTTTTCAGAGACGAGTCGTAAAGTAGCACTACGTCTCAAATTTTCAATGGTTCTTCTCTTACACGTGGGAGCTTATCCCATTTCTCTTTGTCCTTCCCTCGGTTGTCTGCCACTCTGTCTGCCGCTTCTTGGATTCTATCTTCCGTGATGTTGACTTGCCTTGCTCGGATATCCAGTAATTCCTCTAGGGATAGGTCATTTTTCAGATCTTGCTTCCGCCAAGTCTTTAGAAAGCTCTCTATTGGAAAGGTGGCATGTCTTCCATACCACAAAGTCGCAGAAGCATATCCTGTGGTCCTCTTGACCGTGATGTTTTCCACAAAAAACACCGTTCGTAGGAACTTAGGCCATAAGTTAGGCTTCCCAGCAATCCAGTTAGCCAACAGATTAATGAGTGGGCTATGTCCTCTCTCTACTGGTGCATTCGCTGAGGGTGTGCCCTGGTCGTGTATCTGGCAATGACCCCGAGATCATCCAAAAGTTCTTTTACCTCCCCGCATATAAACTCAGATCCTCTGTCCATTGTGAATTCCACCACGAAAGGGTATCGGAGGTAATATTCTTTGATACATTCAGCCAAAACTACCTCAGTCTTGGTTCGAATGGCTTTCCCATCAGCAAACCCCGTAAGGTTATCCCTAACATCAAAGATATAGTTATATCCCCCAATCCATTGCGGCATTGTCAAAAGATCTATGTGAATCACTGCCCCTACATCTTTAATGTACCTTGGATGTAAAGGTTCCTTGTTCCTGATTGGTGATCTGATTTGGCATGGTACACAAGATTCGCAGTAAGTCCAGATCATCCCATACATTCCTTCTCAGAATTACAACTCATATATTTTCTTGACTGTGGCGGCGAAGCCTCTGTGACCACCTACTGGCCCATCATGAAGAGCTGCTATGACGTCAATCTGACGATTTCTGCCACAAATGACCCTCCTCCTCCTAGGAGGCCCACGCTTATCTCTGATGAAAAGGTGTCCTCCTCGTACTATATAGTGATCTCTCATGCGAAGGGTCTTTTTACTAACCTCTCTTTCTCGCTTGTCCTCTGAGAGAAGAAGTCCCATCTCCAAGTGGAACCCGTCATACTCTTCTCGAAAATCTTCCGAGATTTCACCTTGCTCAAACTCTTCTCCCTCCAATTCCTCACTGAATTCGTAGTCATCTCCCAGTACTATCTCATCTGGCTTTACCACTTCCTCGTCATCCTCTGTCTGGACCTGTAGAAGATAATTAACAAGGTAATGTACTCTCCTAATTGTCAGCAAGTGCTGATTAGCTTGTCTCACTCCAACGTCAATTGTTACCGGATCGTCTGTCAGACGGTAAGTCTCTGCCAAGGCTAGTTCAGTCATCCATTCTCCGTTCCTTTCTCCCCATGAGTCCTCCTCAACGAAAGGTTTCAATACTAAACCTTCGATTTTCACGAAGGTTGCTGGCGCAAACCACATGGGTTTCCCTCTCCTGGCTTCCTCATCGTTAATATTTAGCTCTCACGAGTTCACATGGAGCTGCATATCGTCTTTGTCCAAAAATCCATCTACCGATGGTGCTTCTTCTTTGGACTCTCCAGACTTTTCCCATTCTATTCTGCTCAAACCATCGGCCCTGTTCTTACTTCCTGGATATGTTTCAGCTGAAAGTCGAACATCTAGATGTACGTGAGCCATCTGGCGATCGTAGGATCCGTAGGCGTGAAGTTCTTGAGAGAATACATAAGCGTTGTTGGATCTATCCTCAAAACAAACCTCCTCCTGTAAAGGTAATCCCTGAAGATGCGCAAGCAGTGCAACACTACCAATACCTCTTTCTTAAATTGAGAGTAGTTCCTTTCAGTAGTGTTGAGGGTTTGACTCTAAAATCGCAATGGTTTTTCCTTTCCTCCGGAATCAGCCTGTATCAGAACTCCTCCCAGGGCTGTTGGTCTAGCCTCGGTTTCTACGATGAAGGGTCGTTCAATAATGGCATCATTGTCTGGAAGACCCAGCACAAGACCCCCTTCCTCAAATTCCTTCTTCAAGTCCTTTACCACCTGTTCCTGCTTCTCCCCCCATTCCCATTCTTGATTCTTCCTTACCAACTTCCTCACATGTTCTGTCTTAGCGGCAAACCTTTCAATGAACACTCTCCAGATACCACACGTTCCAAGAAAACATCTCACTTCACTGACATTCCTGAATGGCGTAGGCTATTCAAGGATCTTATTTGTCTTCTTGGTGTCTGGACGGCGTCCTTGTTCATTGCACAGGAAACCCAAAATGTTGGCTTCCTTCATGCAGTGTTTGAATTTTGCTCCACTGGTCGTGAGGTTGTACTCTTGTAACAATTCAAGAACTTTTCTGAGATCGTTGACATGATCCCAGACAAACTTCCTTATGCCAGGTTCAACCTCTTGCTCATCTTTCTCCATTGATCCTTTTACCGCAAGGTCATCAATATAGGGCTCGGTAATCTGCAGACTGATCGGTTGCATGACTCTTACCATGCTCCTCTGCACCATGGCTACTGCGTTTGTCCATCCCTTAGGTGCCACATTCATATGAATCAACCCTCTGGGAGTGTGCATCGCAGTGATTGGCCTATCATCCGGATAGACTGGAAACTGGTCGTAACCAGAATACAGATCTGTGAGCGAAATAATAGTCATTCCTGCACATGCCTCAGAGAGTTGATCTGCGTTAGGAAGCCCACCAGCATCCCTAACTGTTACAGCGTTCAATTTCTGCAAATCCTGCACCCATCTAAGCACTCCGTTTGGCTTAATAAAACAGAACCATGGTGATGCGTATGGTCCGCTAGAGTACCCTGTCACATGCGATTCAATCTTCCCATCCAAATACTCCTTTACTCTTCTTTGATCATCGGGGTTTGGGTATCTGACTCGTCCGACATTCCATGGTTGGTGAGGGATTGTGTGGATTCGGATCATTCCTACCCTATCCACATCTAACCTCCCCCTCTGATCATCATTGAAGGCATAGGCGCGATGTTTTTCCTCCATCAACCATACTACCAGCGCCTTCTCCTGCTCTGTCAGAAAACCCGATTCCCCAATAATCAAATCCCCCTTTGTCTCTTCGTTGATTCTGCAACTCTCCTCATCCCATCTCTCTTTCATCTGCCTTATCAGTTCCCTTTCTTGTTCGTAGTACACACCCTCTTCGTGTGTTACTAGAACTGGAACTGAATGACTCTTCTTATCTACTGTCTTGTACCTCCTTTTGCTTCCTTGCTTGAGCCCACCCCTAAAAAATGCTGGCCGCTTACTTGAGCATACGGCCCCTGCATTCTTGCTTCTTGTGTGGATGGCGGCTTGTAAACCAGTTTCAACTCTCCTCCTTCAAGGTAATCATATAACTTGTCTGTCAAAACTTTGATTGCTTCTGGTTCCGCCATCTCATAAGCGGAGACCATATAGATAGCTTGGTCAATGTTTGCCAAACTTAAAGCTAAGCCTTCATTCTCCTCTCCTTCATCTTCCTCATCAGACCCTCACTCTAACTCTTTCCTCCTTTCCTCTGACTCCTCGAAAGTATATGATCCCGCATTGAGGCGGTTCTTTGAGCTATGAGGACCTGTATTCTTACAGGTGATGACCTCATAGTTTCCGCACGCTGGGTCACATAGAATCACAAACATAGTCCCATCATGCTTGTTCATGATGAGAGCCTCCAAGCGCGCTAAAAAAGACCTTCCTAGTAATATAGGAAGATCCAAGCTGGGCATGATATAAAAACAAGAACGAACCTTTACTCGCCCAACTTCCACCATCACATTTGATGCTATGCCAGTATATCCTGACTTTCCACTTGCCCCATTAAGGTATCCACAGTCTCTCTTGTCAATTTTCAGTCCCAACTTTTCAGTTATTTCCGAGTTCATGATGTTCATCTCCGCTCTTGTATCCACCATTCTCGGACAGTCCTTTCCCCTGATGTTAACATCAATGGACCCTGTTCCTACCGGCTTCCAGTCCATTTTGCTGCCAACAATCGTCCAGTTGGCTTCTTTGGGGATCAAGTCTCCGAACCTAACTGTTGCCACTCTTTTCCTTGCCAGCTTAGCCTTGACCAACTCTCTGAGTTTTGGGGCTGTTGCCAAAATCTCTTTCAAGTTTAGCAACTCATTGTGTCCCTCGAGAAGTTTGTTTACTAAATTCTCTAGGTCAACACCTTTTTCAATTGAGGTTTGGTACCTCCACTTTTTCGTCGACTTCTCCCCAACCTTCTCATTTCCATCATTAGTCTTACGCGTTTTGACCCTCTGCTTTGCGCGTTTGTTCTCTTTTCCTCTAAGCACCTCATCCTGATCTTCCTCATCTTCTCCTACATCGATCGAGGTTTCTGCCTGAGGTGGCAAAGGAGCCTGAGCCTGTTTCTTTGACGTATTACCCCCCTTCGGTTTTCGTCCGGTATGGGGAGTATAATTCCTTGGTGTCTGGTAAGTTGCGTCTGATCCACTGGCCAGAGTTGCTCGCACTGCTCTGGCGTTGGATGCCCTTGACTCGGAACCTTCTCTTCCTTGACTCATGGCGAAAGCCTGTTGGGCCTGAGTCGCCCTCACGGCTCTGACATTGTGTGCTCTTGGCTCGGAAGCTTCTTTTTCCAGTCCCGTGGTAAATACATGCGGAATGCTCACTTCATCCATTCTCCTGACATGACACCTTTTTACAGTGTGTCCTCTGATTGTACAGTGGGTGCATGTACACTCACTGTAATCTATCCATCCTCTTCCAAATCCCTGACCGTTCCACTGCCCATCACTTCTGTCAAAACCCCTACCATAGTTCTGGTTATAACCTTGGTCATAACCCTGGTTATAGCCTTGATTGAAACCTTGGCCGATTTGGTTGAAGTTCATTTGGTTATAATTTCCTTGTTGAGGGGCCCTTTGATTGCCCAGCTTCCTCCTTGTCCCCCATTTCCTCTTCCTTCGTATCCTCGGCCTCCCTAGTCATTTCCTCTTCCCCCGTTCATATTTCTACCTTGTCCTTGTCTGTGTCCTTGCCCCTAAAACTGCTGCTGCCCTTGGTTTTTTGGCGGTGCGTGCTGAGGTTGACCTCCACCTCGACCCTGTGAAGGCCCTGCTTCCTGCATGTGAGGCATATTTGGTTCATACCCTGACCATTGATTCTCTGGGAAGTACCCTTGCCAAGCTCCTACTGGTGCCGCAACCGGCCAAGGTCCCTTTAGAGATCCTTGGTTTTGCTTTCCACGAGCAGTCTGTCCTCTGTCGGTTCCCTGTCCTTCCGTTGCTTGATTGCGATTTTGCCTCTGTGTCTTCTTTGGTTGGGTTACTGTCTCAGACTTTTTCTCTCCTTCTTCCTTTTCTTCTCCTTCTCCATACTTCCTCTTACTTGTTGCCTGACCCACCACCATTACAGATCTTGAGTCAACTTTATCTTTCAATTCTTTCAGCTGAGTTATCATACTGCTTAATATTCTTCCTAAGGCCGAGTCAGCCCCTTGGATGACTCCTACTTCCTTTCTCTTCTTCCTTTCCATCTTCACTTGATGGTGAAATACCTGATCCAGATCTTCGGATGTCAGGTTCCTCTTTATTGTTTCCCATGATGTTTTCCTCCCTGGGGCTCCACCTTGGGCCAGTTCCATTGTTTCATATCCGGAGAATTTTCCGAGGAAGATTACGCACTGCATTTCTTTGGAAAACCCTGGAACTCTCGCAGTCATCTTTTCAAAAGTCGTTGCAAAGGCCCCTATTGTAGTAAAGTCACTTCGGCTGACGTTCTGAAGCTCGTCTACGGTCAACAACCCATCTCCCAATTTGTACTTCCTCTGCATCTCTTTCTTGAAGTTTTCCCAGTTCCCCTGGGCATCGGTTACAATCCTTTCCACATCCGGACGGAGTTCCCACCATACATATTCATTTACCTGAGCGAATTTCTCAGTTGGGGTTAAACGGTTGAAGACCTGCTCTAGCAACTCTAGCCAGTGCGAAACCCTTTCTCCTTTGAACGGAAAGATTTATATTTGGGGTAATTGCGACCGCCTGATGCTTCTATTATCCAGTAACTTAGCGATTTCTTCTGCAGTGATGGACCCTTGTCCAGCGCCATCCCCCATTTTTCCTCAACCTTTGGTTGATTTGTTATCACATAAAAGAAAACAACACGTCCCTGAATTATTTTCAAATTTTTTCCTTTGCTTATAGTACCGACTTACTAATGTCTATTTTTGGAATACTCCCCCCCTTACTTAAATTATATTCATAATTTCTGATTCTCCGTCATTCCTATCTTTCGACTTCCTCGATTGACACCCAATTCCCAGACCACGAATCGTACATCATCCCAAACATTTTTTCCGGACATATTTTAATCTTCATTTCAGCCTTGAGTTTCTTCCAGAAGGTCTGTCTAAGCTCTGTAAAATCTACCTGGACATAAGCCTCAACTATGGACAATATCTCCTCAAACTCTCTATCTCCCAATTCTGATCTCATTTCGAGATATAAACGATAGAGAGCGACGTAGAGATAACATATCCGGTCTGCGGAATGGCCAAGACGACCAACGCCGCTCGCTCAACATTGGTTTGCCCTGTGAAAGTTTCATCAACGAAGAAGTCTAGGAGATCTGTTTGGACGTACTCAGTGGGATATGAGAAATCTGATGCCCATTTTGTATCTGTTGTAGATATAATGGGTCGAAGTTCTCCCCAACTTGTTTCTCGAACTTTCTCGTTTAAAACGGCCTCTGTCATTTGGACATACAAACATATAGGTTAAATGTCTCCCAGTGCCAGATCTACACCATGCATCCTCCATAGATGTGCTGAAAGATACAAGGTGACTCGTACTATTACACTCTCCCGATCTAAGGTATGTCCAGTCTCGACCCATACAAATGCCTTCGGACCAATAGAAACGTCACACCAAGAAGTAATTTCTTCTTCCCTTTCAGTCCATCCCAAGGGGAATGACATCTTCAGTCCCTGAGGTGTGCGAACAGGCAATTCAACTTCGAACCTTTGAACGGCATATGACATCTTGGCTGTTTTCTTGGTACCCTGTTAGAAGAAAGAAAATCAGTGCATCAAAGTGTGAGATTGATAATATATTCCCCTCTATCTAATCTGTCCGCTTCCTTATACGATTGTATGTAAACTTCCTATTAATTAATATCCTCCCCATTCAGGCAATGATCCTTAATGCTTATCGTTATACTTACCATCACTCTTTCTCAATATCTTATCCAAACCCAATTACCAACTCATAAGGCTTCGTGCCCCTATTAGATACCCCTTTGATATGAAAAGAAAGTCAGGGTAACACAAATCCCGGAATACCATCGGAGGCAGTGGTCTTCTTCCATGGTCCCCGCCGTTACATGCTTTCTTTCTTAGACCTTAGGTTCCCCTTCTGATACCCAAAACGTTCCTTGACACATCTCCTGTTTCTGGATTTTGCTCATTTCTCTCAATTGTCCAGTCCGTCCGAGGGCCCCCAATCTCCGGACTAAAATCCCCTGACCATGCCAAAAAGAGAAGGAATATCGTCTATAAAAGTTTCAACACAGACTTCCTTACGAAACTTTTTCTAATATGTCATACGATAGTTCAACCAATAACTCTGCAAATATGCATTCACAATGCATAAGACATCATAGAAATCCCTTTTTGCTAGTTTCGGTCTCATTTCCAAGTATAGACTGTATATGATATCAAGCGCTTTAAACTCAAAGCCCCTTTTTGGTACCGATCGTGCCGTGAGTACGGCCCGCTCAACATTCTCCACTCCTGAGAAGGCTTCGTCGATTATGACTTTAGGAAGAGTTGTTTTGATATTTATAGTCGGATAGACGAAATCTTTTGCCCACTTTGCTTCAATTGATCGCAAGATCATTCCTTCTCCTCCCTATTCATTTTTCAAGAAAACGCTTCGAGTACTGATCCAGCGGTCAAAATATATTTGGAAAGAAGAAGACTTTTTCCTATCGCGAGGTCAATTGAAAGTGTCTTCCAAAGAAGTGCAGATAGGTAGAGGGTCACTCTTATTATCGCACATCTTCCTCTTGTAGTCTGTCCAGTTTCAACCCATATAAAGGTTTCTGGCCCTATCGAAATTTCACACCATGTGTCAATCTCTTCGCCCTCTTCCCACTTCCTTCGGGGTAGTGTTATTTTTATCCCTTCGCCTTTTTGCTGGGGTAAGTTAATCGGATAGAATTCAACAACGAACCACATTTCCGGAGCCATTTGGTACTCTGTTTACACAATATGCAAAAGAAAGAACCTTATTTTTAGTTCACTATCTAGTACTCTCTCGCCGCAAGTGTTGAACTAAAAGAGTATCTATTGCCGCAACCGATGCCTAAACTATACTGATCTCTCCTTAGTTCTGAAAATGTTGAACTAAAATAGTATCTATTGCCTTATTCCAACGGACAATCTTAGCTTGCCTAGCCGTGAGAGTTAGCCTGTGAGAATAAACTGATCACTCCCCTTGTCTTGATCAAACCCATATCTTCTTATTCACTCCTTGCCGCTTTGGCATGCTTATTATTAAATCATTCTTCACCCGTTTTGGAGATGTTTGAGCATTGATCATTTCATTTTCGTAGACGTGTCCTATGGTCCAACACTCAGTTTCTCCTTATCTAACAAGGCTTCACTAACCTTCTTTTATTTGTTGTACTATTCCAATCCCTAATCCTTATATTATCTTTTTATATAACAAGTAGGACACTAGTCTACAAATTTCTATTTGCAATATCAGAAATAACAAAAGCGAAATACACAATCTTCTATCATATGTTGCAGGTTGGGAAACAACAGGAGGATCCGGAACATGCGGCGCAGGTTGTGATGTCGATAAGCGCGACTGAGGAAGGATTGTCAACTGCCTTTCTTGAGTCGAGGAAGATGGTGGTGTGTAAGGTCCAAATCGGGGCCGGCTAGGTGGCTCAAAACGAGGCGGAGACGCACCATTACGCCTTTCATACTTATAAGCATAGTAAGTCATTTTTCCTGGCGACGGAGTGCGTTCACGCCACTCTTCCTGACGTTTAAGCGCCCTTAACCCTTCCTCCTTTTCTTCTAGTCCTTCATTATGCTCTTCCTCCCAGTCACCTTGTTCCTTGGTCAAGTCTATGGCTCTATCAGCAGCCTTTCCTAGCCTTCCACCTCTTCCTCTTCCGGTGCCAGTCCCACGACCCTTGGGAGCCATATTTAAAGATACGGATATCGTTTACTTATCACAATCCTTTGGGCTATGCAATCTACACTTGATAACTTCGACTTTTTCTCAGAGTTTTATCTCCCTACTTAAAAATAACCCTTTTGTCCTCGTCGATACTCACTAATACTACTATCTTATCTACTAACCTTTATCTTTGTCGTTTTGCCTAGATCATCGACTTACCATACCCGAGTTCGTTCACTAAGGACCTCGGCTGGAAAGCGAGATCCCCAGCAACGGCGCCACCTGTCACGCCCGTCCTGCGCCCTGCTGGGTGCGCTGAACCTCACAGTCGTGTCACGCAGGATTTATTTTGAAGAATCAACTTGTCACCACTCCAACCGTGCGCGTGTGCTATACTTCTCACGACGCCCTGCGACAGGCCGGGACGTCGCGAGGTACAACTTACCTCTACCCGAGGGGCTGTCACCACTCTCAGGTAGGCGTATCTCTGCTGAGTTACCGACCCATGTGCGAAGGCTTTTACATGCCTGAGTAGAGGTAGGTCGGCCGAGGGTGTTTGCTCGATCGCTGTAGCACTAAATGGGGTACGCGCGGTAAGACACCTACA